CTTGGCAAATCACGAGGTCAGGAATTCTAGAGCAGCCTGGCCAAGGTGGTGAAACCCCTGTCTCCACTAAAAATACAAAAAATTAGCCGGGTGTGGTGGCAGATGCCTATAATCCCAGCTACTTAGGAGGCTGAGGCAGGAGAATCGCTTGAACCCTGGAGGCAGAGGTTGAAGTGAGCTGAGATCGCACCACTGCACTCCAGCCTGGGTGACAGAGTAAGACTCTGTCTCAGGAAAAAAAAAAAAAAGTCTCCTCTAGATTTCTTCATGTGGCATCAAAGACGGCAAAGGGAAGGAGTCTTAGAAAAGCCAATTTGGGGAAATTTTAAGTTTTCTAAAAAGCCAATGAAGGTCTAAATTTTTCTCAGCAAAAAATCATGTTAACGTGCAAGTGGCTCATGCCTGTAATCCCAGCACTTTGGGAGGCCAAGGCCGGCAGATCACATGAGGTGAGGAGTTCAAGACCATCCTGGCCAACACGGCGAAACCTGTCTCTACTAAAAATATAAAAAAATTGTCCAGGTGTGATGGCACGCATCTACAGTCCCAGCTACTCAGGAGGCTGAGGCAGGAGAATCACTTGAACCCAGGAGGCGGAGGTTGCCACTGCACTCCAGCCTGGGCGACAGAGCAAAACTCAGTCTGAAAAAAAAAAAAAAAAAGAAAGCAAATGGTTGTAGTTCAGGTCTTCCCCTTTAGCGACATTTAATAACCACCTGATACCAGCTGCCGGGTGCTGAGCTCGAAGTGCCCAGCAGGTAGCGTTTACTACTTGTGTTAGCTCACATTAGCCATTACATACAGCATGCCGCGTGGGCACGTGCGTGGAGACATTCAGGATGCATGGCCAATAAGTGACAAGGGAGGTGGTCTGATAGGAAGTCCTGTGCTCAGTCCTTCGGCTCTCCTGCATCCTGGGTTGTCCCCCGCCATGCTCTCCTCCCATGCCTTACCCCATCTGCCATGGCTGGGAGGTTTTGCAGGTGGGGCAAATGGCCTGGGACTCGGGCCACCCCTGACCTCGCAGAGTGAGAAGCAGGCTCTGCAGTGAGAGGACACCTCTGCAGGGACAGAAGTGAAGGGCTGGGTTCTGGCTGAGGCAGCATTCATGGGAGGTGGGCGAATCTGTGCTTGGAGCCCCCCAGGGAAGCCCACCTGGCCTGATTGAGCAGCATATGTTCCTGTGAGAGAGGAAGCTGCCTGGGGAGCCCTGAGCCAGCCGGGGGAACGTCCTGGTGTGGAAGGACCTCCAGCCACTCGGGACAGTGCGTCGTGGGGTCTGCATCCCTGGGCCAGCCTGGGGGGACCACTTACATTCTGCAAGGCTAGTGATGTGGATCCACTTCTGCTGCTTCTTTCAGTGAAGTCACGCAATTTGTTAACCTAGTACACTTTTTTTTTTTTTTTGAGAGGGAGTTTCACTCTTGTTGCCCAGACTGGAGTGCAATGGAGCAATCTCAGCTCAGCAACCTCCGCCTCCTGGGTTCAAGCGATTCTCCTGCCTCAGCCTCCCGAGTAGCTGGGATTACAGGCACGTGCCACCATGCCCGGCTAATTTTGTATTTTTAGTAGAGACGGGGTTTCTCCATGTTGGTCAGGCTGGTCTCGAACTCCTGACCTCATGATCTGCCTGCCTTAGGTGATCCGCCTGCTTCAATCTCCCAGAGTTCTGGGATTACAGGTGTGAGCCACCTCGCCCAGCCACCTAGTCCACATTTTAAATTGTGGTAAAATACACACAAAATGTACTATTTCAACCACTGTAAGTGCACAGTTCAGTGGTGTTAAAGACACGCACGCTGTTGTGAAACCATCACTGCCATCCAGCTCCAGAACGTTCTTCATCCTGCAAAACTGAAAACTCTGTCCCCATTAAACGCTCATTTCCTACTCCTCCCTCCTCCAGCCCCCGGCACCCCCCATCTTACTACTTTCTGTTGCTAGGAATTTGACTATTCTGGGGACCTCGTGTAAGCGGAAGCATACAGTTCTTGTCTGTGTCTGGTTCTCTCCCTGAGTGTAATGTCTTCACGGTTCATCCCTGTTGTGGCCTGTGTCTGAACTGCCTTCCTTTTGATGGCGGAATGATATTCCACTGTGTGGAGAGACCACAGCTTGTTGATCCTTCCATCTGTGGACAGACACGTGGGTTGCTTCCTCCTTTTGGCCACTGTGAACAGTGCTGCTGTGAACATGGGTTTACAAACATCTCTTCATGACCCTGCTGTCAGCCGGGTGTGGTGGCTCACGCCTGTCATCCAGCACTTTGGGAGGCCAAGGCAGGCGGATCTGTTCTCATCTGTCAAATGTTGAGGCACAGGGACTTGCTCAAGGCCACATACAGCTGACTGTGGCAGGTCTGGGGTTCACACTCAGCTCTCCAGAACGCATACATACACATCACTCGCCACCACGCTGAACTGCCTGACTACAGCAGGTGTCTCCACAGCCTGTTCTGTACTTCAAGCACAGTAAGAAATGGAGCTGTGTTGACGTCAAAGAATATGATATAGGCAGTGATTTTTTTTTTTTTTTTTTTTAAATAGAGAGCAGGTACTGGCCAGCTTAGAAAAATAATCATGTTAGACGCCTTAGTTCATTCCTCTAATAAGCCTGTTGATCTGATCATCCCTGTTGCCAGCATCTCCACCTTCTACAAAATGGGTAGTCTTTTTCTTCATTCTGCCTCATGGAGAAGATAATTTGAAGGGCCACAGGAAGTTATTTGCTTCTTTGAAGCGTTTTACAACAGGATAGATCTCATGAATCAGATCCTCCATGCAGATGATGCCGTATTTTCCAAGAGATTGAGCAGTCAGAACGTTATCTGTCAAAACAATTCGCTTCTCTTTTATTTTGCCATGACCCCGTTTGTGGATTAGTTCATTTACTGACTTCAGATTTGGGTACCCCCATGTAATATATGGCTCTACGATCCTTAGCATGTTAATTGAAGCCTTGTTGAGCTTCACCAAGGCTCCATCGAAGACTTGACAAAGGCAAAGAAGCTGCAACACCTCTCGGACCTGCGGGCTCACGCCATCGATACCTCTGATCCTGATGACAGACGCCAGTTTGGGTTCTGCAGGTACACAGAAGTTGCCAACTTTCCTTGCCATCCTCACCATTTGAATTTCAGCTCTGTACACCTGCCTATATTCCTTGTGATAGTGCTTTGCTTTTTCGTAGATAAGCTTCCTCCTTGCCTTTCGAAGCATCTTTTGGGCAAACTTCTTTCTCAGGCGCCTGATCTTCAGCGCTGCGAAATTCCTTCGCTTTTTCTTAAGGGTTTCTGGCACAGCAGGGACCTTCTTCTTTTCTACACCCTCCATGGTTCCAGCCGGAAAAAGGGGAAGTTCAGGCCAGTGATTCTTAAACATCCTATAACCTGCCCACGGAACAGTGGCCACAGAAGACGCTGCTGGGCTGGCCAGGAGAGAACCCAGAGAGGAGGTGGGTGAGGGGAAAGAACACTAGGCCCATGCTTCTGGAGACAGAGTTTCAGATGGAGACAGCACGGCACAAGCTACCACATTTAGAAACTGATTACTCCCTGGCCGGGTGCGGTGGCTCAAGCCTGTAATCCCAGCACTTTGGGAGGCCAAGGCGGGTGGATCACGAGGTCAAGAGATCGACACCATCCTGGTCAACATGGTGAAACCCCGTCTCTACTAAAAATACAAAAAATGAGCTGGGCATGGTGGCACGTGCCTGTAATCCCAGCTACTCAGGAGGCTGAGGCAGGAGAATTGCCTGAACCCGGGAGGCGGAGGTTACAGTGAGCTGAGATTGGGCCATTGCACTCCAGCCTGGGTAACAAGAGCGAAACTCCGTCTCAAAAAAAAAATAAAAAAATAAAAAAAAGAAACTGATTACTCCCAGCTGCAGCTGCATCAAAGCTGCAAGCACACCACAGCCCCACATCCCTCCCACCACCCCAGCTTCACTGCAAGCAACAGCGGAGCCCTGGGAGGCCTGACAATGGGTTTTATCCAAATTCAGGCTGCCGGGGACAGGTGGGGCTGGGAGTGAGTGCTCAGTCCGCTGGGCTGGCAGGCCTGGCGCCCCCTGCTGCACGCAAAGGAGATGACAGGGGAGCTGGGCAGGCATCCACCAGGGCGCTGGGCACCTGAGGGTTTTTCTCATCTCCAGATCTCAGGGCGACTCCCCATGGGACTCCTGGGGAAGATACTTAGCATGGTCGGATTACAGGTTTGTTTCTGTCACTCGAAGCCCTAACTTCTTTTAGAGGATGGCCCCATCTCTGTGAATGAACCAAACCAGGGCCTGGAGTCATCTGACAGCTCCTCATCCCCACGCCCAGGCCCTTCCCTTTGCTGGTTCCTTCGCCACTCTGGCTCCGGGACCCTGTCCCTTCTCGCCTGGGTAGCTCCCAGCAGGCCCTACGGCCTGCCTCACCCACCCCTATAGAACCTGGCAGCCCAAGCCCTCTGGGACTGCCTGCTACTTCCAAGACTGAGTTCATAACACGCTGGGCCTCTGCTCTGTCCCCACGGTTGTCACGAGTTCCCAGAACATGCTGTGCCCACTCCCTAGCCTTCCCTCCTCCTGTCCTGTCCAGCCCTCTTGGGTCCCTGCTGTGCTCATGAGGCAGAAGGGCCAGGAGCAGGGACCCAAGGCCACCTGCTCTGAACCCCGGCCTTACAAAAGCACCTTGGGAGGGAGACAGGTCCACTTCGATCACTCGGAGATGGAATTCGCTGTTCTTGTCCATCCTGTGGAATCTAGATTGCACCTCCTGATATCAGCTCCAAGTCCCAGCTGCAACCCTGCCGCGTTCCCTTGGGCCCTCCCACTGCTGCGTGGGGTGGAGGGCTGCCAGGAACACTATTTGTCCAGCCCTGGGAGGGCCATGCTTGTCATTCTCCCTGAGTTCCTGTTTTCCCTGGCTCGGGGGGGCGGGTGCTTACAGACATGCTGCTTCAGTTAAACTATCCACAGCAGGCACGCACGCTGTAAACCAGAACACAGAAACTCAGTCTCCTTGGCAAGCAAGAGTTTATTTCTACACCTTTGTAAATATTAACTCAGTGATCACGACAAACATGGAGCAATCTCAATGCTGTTTATCCGGAGGACGGTCTGCGGGGTCACAATGACTGAAAGAAAAGATGTCATGGGCTTGACCACAGACTCTGCTGCCATCAGTTACAGCAGGGGTTGTGCACACAGCCCTCCCCTGCAATGCCCCCTGATGCACACGGCCATGTTTATCTCCAGGCCGTGTGTGTGCGCTGACTGCCTCGCTAGCCTGTTCTCTCACTGTTGGCAGGTGCAGAGGCTGGGACAGCAGACGCCTTGTGGCGTGCTCTGTGCTGGTACCTCACCTCTCTTCCCACAGTCTATGCTGCGACCTCTGGAGTGCGTGGGAGGATGGCCCCACCTGACTTACCCTGAGGCTACCTGGAAGTGTCAGTAGGTACACGAGAGGCTGCCCTACCCAGCTGACTGTAAGGTGAAGGCCAATACCAGTATTCTGGGTATATTTAACTATGCCCACTGTTGGTGGTTTTAGGCTGGCAACTGCAGCTGTAACAAGAGCTATGAGGGGCGGAATTCTGCGGCCGCTCAGCTGTGTGGCCCCGTGCCCCATGGCGTTCTGTCTCTCAGGATGCTCACTGTGGGGACTGTCCTCGGTGTGGTCCCACAAGGACAGCCCCAGGCCTGCTGGTGGATTAACCGCTGCCTTGGGGGCAATGCTAGGCATCATGGGTTGGAACAAAGTGGGGTCACGTGTGGAGGGTCAAGGAGAAGGGGAGTGAGGCTGGGCCCTCTGGGTGCCCCCTCCAAGATGAGGGTGGAAAGCGGGCAGTGGCAGCCAGAATGAGACCTGCCTGGCTTCCTGTCCCGAGACCCACACACCCACGATCTCCGCCCACACACGCCTGGCAACCTGCACCGTGCAGCAGGGCCCCTCGGTGCTTTCTCGAACTTACTTCTCTTCTTCTTGAAGTTTTTCCTTTTCCTAAATCTCATAATGATCCTTGGCCACGATTCTGTCTTTTCGATGACTGTGGCTTCTACTCGAACAAGATCCTTTCTAGAAGGAAGAAAAATAAACAGTGATGTACCTTTTGGATTATTTTTCAAATGCTTTAGGTGAGAATTTCTAAAATGAAGTTTTACTTTCTCTGTTGTTGATTATGAAATATGCCCATAATGTAAACATTTTGAAAACCATAAAAAAGAACCACAAAGAACAGTTCTGCAGAGTCTGTGAACACTTTTTTTTTTTTTTTTTTTTTTTGAGATAGTTTTGCTCTTGTTGCTCAGGCTGGAGTGCAGTGGCGTGATCTTGGCTCACTGTAACCACCACTGCTTGGGTTCAAGCCATTCTTCTGCCTCAGCCTCCCGAGTAGCTGGAATTACAGGCGTGCACCACCATGTCCAGCTAATTTTGTATTTTTAGTAGAGACGGGGTTTCTCCATGTTGGTCAGGCTGGTCTCGAACTCCCAAACTAAGGTGATCCGCCCGCCTAGGCCTCCCAAAGTGCTGGGATTATAGGTGTGAGCCACCGTGCCAGGCCCAGCCACCACGCCCAGCCCTGTGAACAAATCTTAAGAGGACCACATTGTAATAAAACAGCAAGAGACGAATAATTTGGCCTGGATGTTCTCACGGGCCCTAAATGTCCACCACTATTAAGTATAAATGTTGTGTTTGGTGTCAGCAGAGAATATGGTTGCCACACCCGACCTGGCCTAATGGCACCGTGACCACTGTTTGCATGTCCAGCCCTGGAGCCCCACACAAAGCCCCGCACTTCACGGCCATTACCCGAGGAGTGGCTTGCCAAGAAGCGTGAAGTTGTCTGCCCCGACCAGTAGGACCTGAAAAAATTCAACAGGTGTGTTTAATCAGCAGCTCATTACAATGAGTGACATAGTCGCTAATAACAGATAGTGACGTGAGCATAATGCAACATGAGAAAGACTGACCACACTGTGACATCAATTTCATCTGCCAGCTCGTGATCTCTTTAGCATTCAACACCTGGGGCTGTGAGCCAACCAGCGCACAGCCGTGGGGCGGCCTGAGGGAAACGCTCGAACCCTCAGAGGCAGGAGACACACAACTTAATTACTGCATACCATGGATTTGCATCTCGGTAGCTGCTGTGACCCTCATAGCAACCGTGGCTTCAAAAACCCTATCTATCCAAGCATAACACACAGAGAGAAAGTGCACAAATCATTCGACCTGTCTATAGGCGCAGCTGACAGTTCTGCTAATAGTGCAATGATTTAGGCTCAACTGTATTCTTTTAAGGGCTGCCAAATTCGGAAGAGCCAGGCAGCCATTCTCGATGCCGGGAAATCATGACACCAAGCGTGGCCACAGATGAAGACATCTTTGCCTTCCAAACGCAACAGTGCTTTTTCTTTATTTTCCTCTTTTTTTTTTTTGAGCTGGAGTCTCCCTCTGTCGCCCAGGCTGGAGTGCAGTGGTGCGATCTCAGCTCACTGCAACCTCCACCTCCCAGGTTCATGCGATTCTCCGCCTCAGCCTTCAGAGTAGCTGGGACTATAGGCTCCCACCACCACACCAGGCTAATTTTTTTTTTTTTTTTTGATATTTTTATTAGAGACGGGGTTTCACCATGTTGGCCAGGCTGGTCTTGAACTGACCTCAGGTGATCTGCCCACCTCGGCCCACAAAGTGCTGAAATTACAGGCATGAACCACTGTGCCCAGGCTACAGTGTTTCTATCAGATGTTGGAGATCATCTTAAATTTTACTGATTAGAAAAAATCCAATCATACTAAACTTAAATGCCTAGAGACAAAGTATGTTATATAACGAACTCCGCAGACATGCATATTAGATAATGACAAATAACAAAATCAGTATTTTTAGAGTTAGCTGCAGCATGACACGGTCACTCCCAGTGGGTTTCCTGTGATGAAAAACAATCTGCTTAGGAGAAGCTTTCTAGAATTTTTTGTTAATGTGAAATGTTTCAAATAATGCAAAGGTCTACCTTCTGAGGAGGAATTTTAGAAAATCACGTATCGCGTGTGTGTGTGTGTGTGTGTGTGTGTGTGTGTGTGTGTTGGACTCCTGCTCTGTCACCCAGGCTGCAGTGCAGTGCTGCGATCTTGGCTTACTGCATCCTCTGCCTCCCGGGTTCAAGCGATTCTCCTGCATCAGCATCCGGAGTAGCTGGGACTACAAGCATGTGCCACCACGCTCGGCTAAGTTTTTGTATTTTTAGTAGAGACAGGGTTTCACCGTGTTGGCCAGGATGGTCTCAATCTCCTGACCTCGAGAACCACCTGACTCACCGCCCAAAGTGCTGGGATTACAGGCTTAAGCCACTGCGCCCGGCCACAATCATGTATCTTATATTGTGATAATTAAGCAACCCAGAAAAGTTACCTGTTGCAGAGGTAATTATAATTTTATAAACAGAGTAGGTAAAAATCAAATAGACGCCCCTCCCAACCCCCCCGCCCAGCAAAAAGAATTAGAGCTAACGGCTAGAACTGCTTAGCTAAATAGACCATGCAGTTTTTTTGAGGTGGGGTCTCGCTCCGTTGCCCAGGCTGGAGTGCAGTGGCCAATCACAGCTCACTGCAGCCTTAACTTCCCAGGCTCAAGTGATCCTCCTACTTTAGCCCCACAAACAGCTGGGAGTACATGTGTGCCACCACGCCCAGCCAATTGCTTGGAATTTTAGTAGAGACAAGGTATTTGAGGTCTTGCTATGTTGCCCAGGCTGGTCTGGAACTCCTGAGTTCAAGCAGTCCCTGCCTTGGCCTCCCAGTGTGGGGTGGGTCATGCCCGGCCTAGGCCATGCAGTTCTGAATGGTGCGTAAGACACGTGAGCACCCAGGGAAATGCCTGTCAGCCAGTCTTCACCATTTAAAAACAGCAGCTGCTGTCAAAGGTAATGGCAGAATAGTGTCTTGGTAGAAACTGCGCAGTTTTTCCTCCTAGACGTGGGCTAGAAAGTGCACCACATCCTTTGCTGGGATTTTTATGATCTCTGCACTCAAGCATTTTTCCATGGGGGTGCATTAGTGAGACTGGAAGAGCGCAATAGAGACATGTTCTGCCCTCAGCACTGTGCAATGTGCGGTCTCCCTTCCTCCAAGAACAGACTTACTGGGCCAGGTACCGCCCTCAGAGCAGCGGAGGCCTGCCCTGCACTTGGACCCCAGCCCCACCGTGGGCATCCCCCACAGTCCCTTCTGAGCCTCAGCTTTGTTGGCCTCCACCTGGGACTGGGGGGACCCTCCTCAGTGTGAGCTGGAACGTAGGGATTGCATATTTGGTGGCTGAGCCCCTGAATGTCCAGAGAAGCTTGGTGGTCTCACCTTCTCCAGTCGAATTCTCTCTCCACACTGGAGGTCTAGTTCATTTCCAATTAAGATCAGGTCTTCGGAGGTCACCTTCCACTGGTGGCTGGCAAAGTGTACCACAGCAAAGAGCCTGCCGTACTGCCCCGTGGCGATCAGCTCATTCACCTTCCTCACGATCTCTGCGGGTAAGGCGGGTGGGCAGGCAGTCACCCTCCACTGCTCCCCCATGTACTGCAGTGTGACGTGCAGCTCCTGGTGGACGGGACGCCAGCACCCCTTGTGAGCACCTCACTGCGGGCGGCCCAGCCCTGCTCTACCCCCTGCAGGCACAAGTGTGGGCACAGGGCCAGTCTGCTGCTCCAGGAGCACTGGCACTGTGGCACGCGGGGCTTTCACAGACAGACGCTCCGCAAGACTGCAGAGAATGCCCACACCACCTCCTGCGACTTTCTCGCCTAAGCACTTGGCAGGCCTGGTTCCACTTCTACAAGTCTAGGGCGGGTGAAGCCCTCCACCTCGTTCATTCCCATTCGTTATTAATGAGGAGCCAGCAGGCCAGGAGTGTAAAAACGCTGAGAAGTGAAAGGAGAGGCCTTTGCCATGAGGAATGCCCCGCATCCCACCCTCACATCCCACCCCTGGGGCAGGACAGGTTCTCCCTGCATGCCTGTGCCCACAGGGGCTCCGTGCTCCGTTCCTGTCATCCCTGCTCTGACACAGGTCACAGTTCCCTCTCTCTTGCACTGTTTACTCTGAACAAGCATTTATTTATTTATTTATTTTTTAAAGACAAGGTTTCACCATGTTGGTCAGGCTGGTTTTGAACTCCCGACCTCAGGTGATCCGCCAGCCTTGGCCTCCAAAGTACTTGGATTACAGGTGTGAACCCCCAGGCCCAGCCTGAACAAGCATTTAATGCGCACTGACGCCTGGCCCGACTGAGGGCTGGACACACGGAAGGGACGACAGAGTGCCTGCCCCAGAAACTGTCAACACCAGAGCGCTGGCGTCGAGGGCAAAACTCTCGGTGGGCCTGTTTCACTCGCACAGTATCTGAAACAGCATTTAGAACGTAAGAAGATAAACTGTGAGAAGATTCCACTCAACAGTCTTGATTTCCAGCGTTTTGGAAAGCGAGGATCATGGGTCCCTTTTGACGTGGGCTCCAGGTCGACATGAGTACTGATGCCCCTACGTGTTTCTCCAACAGCCAGGGTGGCACCGGCTTCCGTGAGCTGTGCTGAACTGTACCAGCTGGGGTGAGCTGTCCCTGAGCCCACCAGGAGCGGGAGATGAGAGATAGGGCAGGACCCCGCCTCACTTATGCCAGCTGCCTGCAGTGTGGCAGGCGTTCAAGGAGTAGTCAAACGAGTAACACTTGAAATACTGACACTAACCAGCAGAAGTGAACGTGAGTGCTTGCCCTGAGCTGTGTCTGGGAGCACCGGAAACACGGAGCCCTCGCTCTGTGCCCGGGGACCACCTCTGTGGTGACGGGAGCAGGGTCTGGGCGGTGCCCTCCAGTTTCCGTCTCCCAGGGAGGTCTTACCCGCATGGTGTCTGGTCTCCTCAACTGGGTCTGGCAGGACAATTTCTGGCCATGGAGGTGAACTCAGGGAGGTTTTAGGAACATATCTGTAAAACACATTTCATACACAAATGTCACACGCACTTGAAAAGGCAGCTTAAAGCCTCCAAGAAATGGCCACACACAAATGTTGGGAAGGGACCCCAGGCCACAAAAAGGCTGGCTATTTAGGACAGGCCCCGCCCATCTGCGGTAACCCGAGGACAGGCTCCCTGCATCCTCTTACAGCCACAGGGAGCAGTGGCTCATCATTTACTCACTAAAGCAGGAACTCTCAGCGGTCTGCTCCAAGAGCCCACGCTTGGGCACCTCTCAATGCTGCAAGGGTGCCCATCCAAGGAAGCTGGGCTTGTGGTATCTCGGGACACATTTACCTTGGAGGCACAGGCTGAAATGCCCAGCCCTCCACTTTCCCCACAACCCGGGATACAGGGCCAGCAGCTCTCCTGCCTCGCCTGGCATCCAGTGGCCCTGGAATGGCAGCTCCAATGACCCTTCGCCACATCCTGCTCAAACAGGACCATGTTCCCTGCCCCTGCCCACCTCCAACTCCTCCCAGGTAAGTGCCTGCTCTTCCTTCATGCCCAGATGACTGACAGGCAGAACTGGCTCTGACCCCTGACAGTTAGTCCTGGTGTCTAAAACTGAGCAGATGGGAAAACAAGCACCCACCAGAAAGGGCTGTGATGGGATCAGATGGCGACTGTTCCCAGCCGGCCCCAGCACTGCCAGTGCTCTCAATCCCAGCAGCTATATAGCACCAGTCCCCAGCCGCCTCCCCCTCCCCCCTCAGGATGCCAAGCTTGGTGCAAGCAACACCTCTTTTTTTTTTTTTTTTTTTTTTTGGATGGGGTCTTGCTCTGTCACCTAGGCTGGAGTGCAGTGGCACAATCTTGGCTCACTGCAACCTCTGCCTCCAGGGTTCCAGCGATTCTCCTGCCTCAGCCTCCTGAGTAGCTGGGATTACAGGCAAATGCCACCATGCCTGGTTAAGTTTTGTATTTTTAGTAGAGACAAGGTTTCGCCACGTTGGCCAGGCTGGTCTCAAACTCCTGGCCTCAAGTGATCCGCCCGCCTCAGCCTTCCAAAGTGCTGGGATTACAGTCGTGAGGCACCGCGCCTGGTCCACTGACTTCTTCATTTTGTGACTCTCCCCAGCCTGCTCAGACCCAGGCAGGTCGGGGGAGAAGAGGGGAGGAAAGAAAGGGAGGGCCTAGATTCAAAAGGAGGTGGGATCTTTCTGACTTTCTGCTGTCTACAAAGAGGGAGGGTGGGTAGATTCCAAACTGAACTATTCAGAACTCTTTTTAAGCTTTTATTGCTGCTGCCACTGCAAAGTAAAATTTCAGTCTTTCTCTCCAGTGTCGCATTAGGAAGGAGAAAACTACCTGCTCCACATGCAAAACGTGCGGCCCCCACACCAAGGACCAGGTGCGTCCATGCTGTTGGCTGGCACGCAGGAGGGGCTCCACAAGAATCTGGGAGAGGAATGAATGCTTTCCCAGTGGGGAAGGGCCTGGAGCGCCTAGAAACGTGAACTCTGTGGTCTGTGGCTGGTCAATGACCTGAGGGACAAGGAGGACAAGGAAGGTGCTGCTCTCTACAAAACGTCTTTGATGTGCTTGATGGCCATCTCCCCAGATGGGCCCAGCCGTGCTCAGTGTGAGAAGAACACACTGGCAGCAGGTGCTAATCTCTCACACAGGACAGACAAGCACAACCTGGCCACGTGCTAACTTACAACCTCTTCCTACGCTCAGATTCACAGCTTCTCAGAGAAGCAAGAAAGCCTTTGCACCTCCCCACTGCGGAGAAGCCCCGGAGTCCCGGCAGCAGTAAGAGCAGGCAACGTTTTGTGAGTGCTTACTGTATGCCAGGCACTGTTCTAAGCGCTGTAACTGTATACACTTACATAATCCTTTCCAGCACTTATGGAGATAGAAACAAACACTGCTTCCATCTGGGAGAAGCCCGGCGTCCCAGGCAGTGAGGGGCAGCCAGACTGCACCCTGGGGCTCCCCTGTGATCACTGCTCCCCCGCACTGCTCCTGTGTCTCCCACCAGTGAGTGGACGCTGTCAAGTGTCTCCTGCAGCTTTTAATACCTTAAAAATGTTTTTCTCAAGTACAAAATATCAACACTAAATGTGCTTTTTCAAAGAATGAGTTTCTCTGAGAGACCCTGATGCAACCTTCCTCATCAGAAATCTTGATTTAGGATTTCAAGCTTCTCCATAAAAAAGAGCAAACACATACAGTCTTTCTCTTTGGTTTCTTGCAGTTACGTCTTTTATTTTAAGGGGCTGAGAAAAATACCGTCAAAAAAGTGAAAGCCAAAAGTGGTGCTGCGTGCCTGTAATACTGTGGCGGGATCACTGTAGGCCAGGAGTTCAATACCAGTCTGGGAAACATAGTGAAACTGTCTTTAAAAAAAAAAAAAAGGAAATTTAAATATTACTGAGAACCAAAAGGTAGGAAGTTTTGACTTTAAAAAGGCGGTTCTACAAATGAAAGGAAAAGAGGCACCAAAACCCACATTTTGATATTACCCTGGTGGAAATGAAGTACTCTGCGAATTGAACCTTTGAGCAGCAGACCAAAGGGACCCTGGGGGAAGAAGAGAGACATGCATCATTACTATTAATACAACAAATGCAAACTGCTCCTCCCGGTATGCGGTGTAAACCACTGCATGTCAAGCTGCCTGCAGAAACACCTAGGTGAGCAAAACCAAAAGAACGTCACTTACAGCTACTGGCTATGTGTGCTGAGCTCAGCTTGCCACGCCATCAACAAGCGCCTGAGACCAGAAGCACCCGCCCACTAACTCATGCCTTCACCAAGTGCCCAGTAGGTTCAGCCCCTGTTCCGTGCCCAAGTGTGGGAGCAGCCTCCACGATGGCCCTGCTGAGCCCCGCCTCCTGCTATTCTGGCCCCCGTCACCCCTGTCATCCCCCAAGGAGTGGTCTGTGTGTCCCACAGCTTGTGACAGATGTGCCGGCTCATCACTTCTGGGATTAGGTGATAACCACTGGGCCTTCCATCTTGGATGCCTGCGCTCACTCTCTCCGATCTCGGCCTTGGGGCAGCCCTGCTGTCAGCAGCCCTACGTAGAGGTCCACGTGACGGGGAACTGGGCCTATCGCCAACACCCACAGGAACGACCTTGCAAGTGGATTCTCCAGCTGCTGGCGCAGCGGAGTCTTGAGAGAACTACAGTCCATGTGAGCTAACGAGACCGAGCCAGAACCAGCCACCTAAGCTGCTCCTGTGTTCTTGACCCTCAGAATTGGTGTGAGGCTATAAACGTTTTCAGCTGCTAAGTTTTGGGGCAATTTCTGATGTAACTGTAGCTATCGAATAGACCAGGGAACAAAGGCATTCAGCCTACTGAGAAGAGAGGGGCTCAAAATAAGTGCTTAGGTGCAAAAAGCGGAGAACAGGTTTCTCAATAACCACTTTTATTATTTATTTATTTATTTATTTATTTTAAAGACAGGGTGGGTTTCACCATGTTGGCCAGGCTGGTCTTGAACTCCTGACCTCAGGTGATCCGCCTGCCGCAACCCCCCAAAGTGCTGAGATTACAGGCGTTAGCCACCACGCCCAGCCAATAACCACTTTTAAAGAAATTAAGCTATAATCTACATACCATAAAAGTGACCCTTTTAAAGTTCACCCATTAGCACTGGCTCCCTGTTTGTGTCTCCTCGGCTGCCTTCTCTCCTCTCCCATTTGGGTGCCTGGGGTCCAACCCTGGGCCTTTAGCTCTCCTCCATCCATGGCCATTCTTCTGGTGACTGCATCCAGTCTGATGGATTTAAATGCCCTGGATGTGCTGGTGACTCCCAGGTTGACACCTCCAGCCAGGGCCTCTCCCCTGGACTCGCATACCCACCTCCCACTCTGTCTAATGAGCACCTCACACTTCCAGAGGCTCCTCATTTCTCCCATGCCTGCGTCTCTCACACTCCTCCCTCTCACGAGGGCAACTTCATCCTCCCAGTTGCTCAGGCCCCAAACCTCCATCAGTTTTGACCCCCTTCTCTTGCACACTACTCAGCCAACCCATCGGCAAATCCTATTGGCTCTCCCTTCAAGCGATCCAGGATCTAACCAATTAGATCCTGGATCTAATTAGATCCTGCAAGCCACCACCTTCTCTTGCCTAGATTACTCCTAACACTCGACCCTCATTCTTGCCTTTCTTTCCTGCATGGCAGCTAGAGGAATTCTGTTAACACGTAGGTCAGAAGATGTCTCCATTTTGCAGAAACTCTCCAAGAGCTTCCCATTTCCTTCAGAGAAAAAAACCAAGTTCTCGCAGCAGTGGGCAGGGTGCCTGGAAAGGCGGGGCAATGCGACCTCCTACCGCCTCTCAGAATCTGCCTCTCTGTCTCTTTCCCCGGTTAACTCTTCATCCACACTCCACTTCCCTGCAGTTCCTGAAATGTGCCAGGCTCAAGCTTGTATCCTCCTCCTTGTGTGAGCTGTGCCCTCACTTCCTGCATGTTTCCATGCAAACACCATCTCAGAGGAGAGGGTCTCTTTTCTTAGGAGAGAGATCACCCCTTTGCCAGGTGTGGTGGTGGGCGCCTGTAGTTCCAGCTACTTGGGATGCTGAGGCACAAGAATCATTTGAATCCAAGCGGCGGAGGTTGCAGTGAGCTGAGATCGTGACACTGCACTCCAGCCTGGGCAACAGAGTGAGACTCTGCCTCGAAAAATAAAAGAAAAAAGAAAAAAAGAAAAAACTTATTATTGCCATCTGATGATGCCGCTATAGAAATATTCCAGTGATTTTGAACTCAGCACCTCTCTTGGAAGCCATCCCGTTGTGAAAAACTCAGCAAGCTTCTGTATCTAATTTGCTTTTAGCTTTGGCCTTGGGTCCACAGGGAACAAACATTCTGCTTCCTCTCCCACAGTATTTCCTTTAGATCATCCTGGGGACTGTGACTGTGCACTTCCATCCTGTCTGCTTTGCTCACCTTTCAAGGACCCAGCTGCTCACTGTTTGGTCACCTTCTCTGTACTCACTCCACTGTGTGTCTTTCTCTCTTAAAGCGTGAGTCTGTACTTGAACACAGCATTGGAGGGGTGGTTTCATGTAGGTAGGTGGCATGGAGTAAGTCCCACTGCTTTTGTAAAAACTTTCCTGCCTACTTAAACCCAAGTTTTATTACGGAAAATGCCAAACATACAAAAGTAAAGGGAACTCTAGTGAACTCTCTCTCAATTATCCCTTCCCAGGTTCAACAGTTACCAACTCATGGTTAATTTTGGCATCTGCATTGCTTCTCGCCCAACTCTGTGATTATTATTACTTTCTTAAATTAATACTTTCTTAATACAGACTTTATTTTCTAGTGCAGTTTTAGTTTCACACCAAAATTGAGTGGAAGGTACAGAGAGTTCCCATATGTCCCCTGCCCACGTCCCCACAGCCTCCTATCAATATCCCCCACAAGGCTGGCACGATCCTTACAATCAATGAACCTACACTGACACATCATTGTTATCCTCAGTCCACAGTTTACATTAAGGTTCACCTTTGGTGGTGTACATTCTACGGATTTGGACAAACTTAAAATGGGATGTTATCTACCATTGTATTATACATACAGAATAGTTTCACTGCCCCCAAAGTCCTCTGAGCTCCACCTATTCATCCTTTCCTCCCAAATCACATTATCTCTCATCTATCTTTTTACTGTTTCCACAGATTTGCCTTTTCCAGAATGTCAGAGTGGGAAACATACAAGATGTAGCCTTTTCTGGTTGACTTCTTTTACTTAGTAACATGTATGTAAGTTTCCTCCATGTCTCTTCATGATTCATTTCTTTCTATTGTATGGATGTGCTACAGTTCATGTAACCATTCATACCCTGAAGGACATCTGGGTTGCTTCCAAGTTTTGGCAATTATGGAACAATTTTTTTTGAGACGGAGTTTTGCTCGTTACCCAGCCTGGAGTGCAGTGGCCGATCTCGGCTCACCACAACCTCCGCCTCCTGGGTTCAAGCAATTCTCCTGCCTCAGCCTCCCGAGTAGCTGGGATTACACGCGCGCGCCACCATGCCCAGTTAATTTTTATATTTTTAGTAGAGACGGGGTTTCACCATGTTGACCAGGAGGTCTCGATCTCTTGACCTCGTGATCCACTCGCTTCGGCCTCCCAAAGTGGTGGGATTACAGGCGTGAGCCACCATGCCCGGCTGGAACAATTCTTTAAATAGAGTTAGATCCAGTTTTTCTTTTTTGGGGTCATGGTGAGACATGAGACCCAGGTTTAAAACAAACATAAACACTCGTACACACAAATATACACTTCAACCATTTTCAGGCAGAGATTTACAGAGTTTTTGACGAACATAACCTTTTTGGAGCCTCATATCAGCCCAGCGCCTTAAATACGGCTGTTTCTTTTGTTGAATTCAGATTAGGCTAGGATATTCATCATGATTTTTCAGAGCTGCTCGCAGCCTGGGGCAATGGTTCAAGCACAGGCTTTGGAGCCGAACTGAGCTGCGCCTGAGCACTCTTCTTCCCCTTCCCCGCTGCGTGACCCTGGACAGGTTACCTAGCTCCTCTGAGCTGCAGGCTGGTCCCCCATAATATAGGGGCTATACCGAAGTTCAAGGGCTATCGTCAGAATTCAGGCTACTAACTGAAGGAATGAGAATCTGAACCTGGGTTCCCCCGCCTCCAAAACCCGTGCTATATTCATTCAGTACAAACGCGATCAACACACAAGGCACCAGGTCGGACCCCGGCACATACATGGCGAGACTGCAGAGAGCAGCGCTCGCTCCGCGTCCTCCCTTCACTCCATATCCCGGGTCTCACCCGCTCCGGGCCCAGAAGGTCTCAGGATGTTGCGGCTGCACGCGGACACCAGCCGCCCGAAAGTGACTGTCAGGGCGGTTGCCGCCATGGCCGCCGCCATCTTCCCGCAGCCTCAGCCGGAAGCGGAAGCGACGCGAACCTCGTGCGTAACGCACGGGCCCGATGGGGAACGTCGGTCCGGCTGTAACAACGCTCCGGCGCGGAAGCGCGACATCTGCGGCTCTGGGCCCAAGCTGGCGGCGGCGATGGCCTCGGCGGCCGTGGAAAGCTTCGTGACCAAGCAGCTGGAGCTGCTGGAGCTCGAGAGAGACGCGGAGGTGGAGGAGCGAAGGTACAGGCGGCCGCCGGCGCCGCTCCCTCGCGGTCGGTCCCGCGGTGTCCCGGGCAGAGTCTCCGAGGGGCTCGGCCTCACAGCCTGGGGCAGGAATTTCGTCTCCGACCCCCGAGTCCGGGCCAGGGACCGTCCGTCCCCTGCTTGGTCACCCCGAGTTGTCAGTCTCGGCACCTCCCGGGCAGCGCGCTGCGCTTTGGAACTCTTAAGAAGCCCTTTCGTTTCTCGACCCGAGACGCCCCAACGCTGACACCCTGGGCCCCGGCCCCGACCCCACTTCCGCCCGCAGCGGGTTAGCGGCCCTTTCCCTTGTTGTCCGGTAAACGTGGTTTGCGCCCGTTCCGTGCCCGGCCCCGGCAGCGTGGGTCAGGTGCAGCGGCTGCCTCGGATCCGGCCCGCTGCGGGCTGGGCCTGAGCACAGTCCCTCCGGCTCCGGCGCCTCCAGGCCCGGCTGCGCGCGTGCTGGGGAGAACGAGCCTGGAGGAGGAACGCCCTTCCCCGGGGAGGGTCGCGGTGGCTCCAAGGAGGAGGTGGTGCCCGAAGGAAAACTGGAGTTAAGCCGGTGGATGCGGGGTGGGGTGGGGAGCAACCCTGAGAGGTGTGGACAGCCACGTGAGAGCTGGCCTTGCTTCCGAATGGGATTATTTATTTGTCCAAAACGAACAGAGCTGACACACATGTGCTTTCCATGCGTTAATTCCTATGCACCTCTGCCAACCCTGCAGGGTAGGTTTCTACTACTGTCATTTTCCGTCTAAGGAGATGGAGACAGACGGGTTAAGTAACTTGCCCAGGGTAACACGCTATAGCCCGACTCGCCATCAGGCAGTCTGCCTCCAGAGTTTGCAGGCAGCCATAGGTCGGCAGAATTTGTCCGAGAGGCTTTTGATCGTGGCGATTGAGAGCTTTTGCAGTTACTTGACTTTATCAGAATCCCAGCTCCTTCATATATGGCTGTGTGACTTCGCAGGTTCTGTCTCGGAGCCTTACTTAACTTCATCTGTGAAAGTGGGATGATTCCCACCTGACGGGTTTGCTCTGAAGGAAACGATCCTGTCAGTCAGGTGCTCAGAACCGTGCCAAGGACAGAGTCAGCCCCCATGGCAGTGGCTCTTCCTGAGAATGCTGAGCAGACTGGCAGGGCGAACCGGGAAGGCCCTGGCTAAGGAGCCAGCGTTCTGCTCAGTGTGTGCAGGATTGGCCATCAGCGGGGTTAAGCAGGAGAGGGAGGCGAATAGATTTGCATTATTAGGAGGGTCTCTGGGTCTCCTGTATTTGACTGGACTAGGAGGGGCCAGAAATAAGGTAGTTGACAGGCTCTTTTTAACCCAGGTGAGCAGTGATGTGGGTTTGAACCAGGGCTGTGGCAGCCAGGATAAGAGGCAGAGAAGTCCAGGTAGAAATAGGGGGAGCCTGAGAGGACTGAGTGACAGATAGGAGTAGAGCAGGGAGGACCAACGGCAGCATCTGTCTCAGGTGACTGGGAGAAGGGTTGTGGCATTAACTGCCCAGGGGGGATGTAGAAGGAGCGGGTTTGGGAGTGAAGCAGATTCAGAGTTCCATGGGGACATGTTTAGTGCCCGTGAGTAGATCTTTATCTGTGTTTCTTTCCCTTTTACTTTTTCTGCATGGGTGGAAGTAGAAACTGGTAAAAACCCTGAAGCATCAACACCAGGTGTCTTCCAGGTCCTGGCAGGAGAACATCTCTCTGAAAGAGCTCCAGAGCCGAGGTGTGTGTTTGCTGCAGCTTCAGGTATCCAGCCAGCGCACGGGGCTGTACGGACGGCTGCTGGTGACCTTGGAGCCCAGGCGATGCGGTTCTGCGGCAGCTCTTCCCAGTAACAGCTTCGCTTCCGGTGTGTGCCTATTCATCCAGACAGACACTGAAATTGACTGGCATTCAGACCACCTTGTACCCTCATAGAGACTGGATTACAATGACCAGTTGGAGAATAAAGCATTGCAGTGAAGAACTCTTTAATCAGAAGTCCAACAATTGATGTGGGTTTTTGTTGTCTAGATTAGCATTGTCCAAAATGGTAGCCATTAGCCATGCGTGGCCATCAAGCGTTTGAAGTGTGGCTTGTGATTGACGCAGATGTAGAATACACAACAGATTTGGAAGATTATGTTAAGAGCAGTTGGGAATATCTCGAGTGATTTTTTTGGAATACTGATGACATGTTGAAGTGTTTTTCATATATTGGGTTAAATATGTTGTTATTAAAATAATTTACCCATTTCTTTTAAATTTTTTTTTTTTTTTGAGCCGGAGCCTCACTCTGTAACCAGGCTGGAGTGCAGTGGCATGATCTTGGCTCACTGCAACCTCCGCCTCCTGGGTTCATGCGATTCTCCTGCCTCAGCCTTTTGAGTAGCTGGGACTACAGGCGTGTGTCACGACGCCCAGCTACTTTTTTTTTTTTTGGTATTTTTAGTAGAGACGGGGTTTCACCATATTGGCCAGGATGGTCTTGTACTCCTGACCTCAGGTGATCCACCCACCTCAGCCTCCCAGAGTGCTGGGATTACAGGCGTGAGCCACCGTGTCTGGCTTCTTTTAAATTTTTTAATATAGCTACTAGAAAACTTAAAACTACACGTGACTGGGTGCCTTTAATCCTGGCATTTTGGGAGGCCGAGGTGGGTGGATCGCTTGAGCTCAGGAGTTCAAGAGCAGCCTGGGCAACATGGCAAAACCCCATCTCTACAAAAAATAGAAAAATTAGCCCGGTGTGGTGGTGTGCACCTGGAAAGGAGGGGCGGTTAGGAGAAGCTTCTTAACCACATGCCTGGGACGCTTGTGTTAGACGGCCACTGCCCCGGAAACCAGGAAACCAGGAGGAAGCAGCATTGCCGGGGCTGTCCTTTTTACTATAAAAGTGGCTCTACCTCGTTTTGGTGGTGATGGAGTTTTGAATTTCATATTTTGATTTCATAGACTTTTGCCCAGCAATTAGGAATACCGGCTGGATTTGGAGAACATGGGATGAGGGTGTTGAGAGAGGAGGGGCCAGGAGGGGAGCCTGCAGGTTAGAGTCCGACCTGAGCAGAGTTTGAGATCTTACACTTGCTTGTTACGTGGCCTAGAGTGAGTTACTCACCCTCCAAAGATCAGGAACAGCAGTACCTTGTGGCGTTGCCCTCAGGATGGAAAGTGTGTACAGGCGGGTTGAAAACTGTGAAATGCAAAAGTCAAAATGTTTATTTAGGGCCGGGCGTGGTGGCTCACACCTGTAATCCCAGCACTTCAGGAGGCCGAGGTGGGTGGATCATGAGTTCAAGATATCGAGACCATCCTGGCAAACATGGTAAAACCCCACCTCTACTAAAAATGCAAAAATTAGCCAGGCATACTGGCGGGCGCCTGTGGTCCCAGCTGCTTGGGCGGCTGAGGCAGGAGAATCGCTTACACCCAGGAGGTGGAGGTTGCAGTGAGCTGAGATCATGCCACTGCACTCTAGCCTGGTGACTGAGCGAGACTGTCACAAAAAACAAGAGTGTGTATATATATTCAGTAAGTGTTGTGGAGTGCATGACCTAAGAGATTAATAATAGCTGATAAACAGGAAGTCAGAAGAAGTGGCGTTCATGCAGAAAAGTGGCAAGCTGAAATTATGGTTGTTGATACAGCTGTTGATTAGATTCAGGTAGAGTGGTTATCTGTTCCTTTTCTGAGGAGCAGTCTTAAGTCTCAGTAGCTCAGATACACATCTGGAAATGTGGGGCTCTACACAAGGCAGCTAGTGGAAAGGTTGCGGAGGGATGGGATCCTCTAGCCCCGTGGCAGTCCCTGTGCACGGAGCCAACCCTCTGTCCCGCGAGCTTGTTGCCACATATGCTTTGTCTTTATAAAGTTAGGAAACGTGTTTCAAGGTGCAGATGAAACTCAGTGTCTAGAAGATTGCAGACATGGGGAGTACATGGAGTGTGAACAGGTGTGGGTGACCCGCGCTTTTATCTCACAGTGGGTTGTGTCAGTCCTAACTGCCTATGTTCTGAGTGACAAAAATCTGAGTCAGACTGGCTTTTTTATTTTTATTTTTTTTGCCCTCCCCCCCCCCCCGGACTGAGTGATGAAAATCTGAGTCAGACTGGCTTTTTAAAAAGTTTTTATGTTTCGTCCCCCTTGCCCCCCTGACTGGCTTAAGCAAGAAGGGACTGTGTCAGTTGTTGTGACTGGAAGGCTGGCTTCAGGACCCAAAGGAGCATGCCAGGACTTAGTTTCTCTCCATTTCTTGGCTCTGCCCTCTTCTTGGCTCTCCCGTCTGCCCTCTTCTTGGTGTTTTTTTTTTTTTTTTTTTCAGCCATTTTAGAGTTTAAGCCTTTCACTGCTGTGCAGGCTGCACTGTAGTGGCACAATCATGGCTCACTGCAGCCTCGAACTCCTTGGCACAAGTGATCCTCCTGCTTCAGTGTCCTGAGTAGCTGGGATTACAGGTGTGAGCCTCTGTGCCTGGCTGGGATGGATCTTCATCTCAGGTGCCTCATGGTAGCAGTTCTAGCCCCTAATCCTCACAGGTTTCCTGTCAAGCTGGAGAGAGGGAGTGTCTCTATCCAGATGCCCAAGTACAGGTCTTCACACATCTCAGGCCTGTGACTTGGTCTCATGCCCATCCCTGAAGCAATCACGGTGGCCAGGGGCATGTGAAGCACTGAACAGCTTAAACCTGGACTGGGGGAAACCCCTTGGACTCACCTGACAGGTGGGAGACACAAGACAGTTGTCCTAGGCAGTAGGAAGGGCTGTGCTGTGTGGGCGTTTCTGCATGGAATGTTCTTTCCTTTTTTTTTTTTTTTTTTTTGAGT